AAATAAGTGTGTGAACGTGCATTATGCATTAGCTTACGCATAAACCACAAATATCCACCTCGTTCTTCAAATAGCATAAATAAACAATCATTCAGGTTCTTATGTTAGCTTTCAGGGGTGCGCGATAGACTTACCTCCAAGTGGTGCACCCTGGGCAACGTATACTCATACGACAAAAAAGTCTATAAACTGACAGTTGACTTCTGACTTCAAACTACCATCATCCCACTGTATGTCATATTCGATCAGTTCTTCCATACTTATCCCACCTTTTCTCTGCCTTTGTGTCTGTCTGTCACTTTTACATCTTTGAATCCCTCTTCTATTCCCCACTCCACTTTTTCTCATTTTGATGTTCCTCCTTCCCTTTATGAAGCCCAAAGTAAGCTAAAGGGCGAATTATAAGTATCATAAAGCCCACCATTTGATATAAATAAATTTTAGCTTCTATAAACGGTAAAGGAGTGTGCGTCAGTTACCTCTAGCAAACAAAGACGTGATTGAATTTTGCGGTACACTTCTTAAGCGCGTTGTTTCTTACCACTTCTTTCGACCTCCATCTCCCATATCACATCTTTACCCATATTTATTGTCTGTAATTTTTCAGCTAACTCTCACTCAGCACAATTCTACTTAAACACTTTTAGGATTTGCGTTCCTATCCTTTCTCACCGGCAATTAATTGTGAGCCAACCATGCCCGTTGCTACTTAGTATAAAAGGCTTACCTGATAACTCTATTCTTCTATTTTTGAGTCTATTGTCAGTAGGCAGACCAATCAGTAAGAAGCACGAAACCGAAATATATCGCATAAATTATTGAAGACGATGGTGACTTTTAGTAAAAGTGTTAGCTTCCACTCTGACTTGTACCCTCCAATGTCTTAGGCATATCCTACGAATACTTTTGTATTTAATTAAGCTTTTGATAACGTATACAATAATCTCCGTCAGCATTTACACTTCTTTCCTACTTAATCCACTTAACTTTTCATGATCAGAGCGTGCAATGAACGACATATTTAATCGGTTATCGAGCTCAGATTTAACTGCTGAGCTTATCATGGTCCTGAACTCAATTGAAGAATCGAATTTCATCTAGGGACCTTCTTTAACTCCTCCGTGAGAATATTAAATGCAGACACAGATTTCATAAGTGCAAAGAACTTACAGGTATTGATGAGATAGGCGAACGATAAATTCAAGGACATGTCAACAGTTTTTGCATCTTGAATTTTGTTCAAAAATGTGCTGCTTTATGGTTGAAATACCTTTGTAAGTGGTTTTAGATTTCACTGATATTTTGCATGCTTTTTTTCTTAGATTATCTTGCATCTACTTGAAAACTGATATTCGGATAGGGTGAGGTACGGTAGTAACACCTTCCTATTTAATTCCTCTCTTTTATATGAGTTCATCTTGGCCTTGTGGAGGGAGGGGGTGTAAAATATAATGTCGCGGAATTTTCTTTTTTCTCTTAACTAACCATGCCCGCTTTTTTTCATTTTGAATTTAGTCCTTCTAACCATTTACAAAAATTAAATTCGATTGAAACCGTAACAATGTGGTATAAAAGGAAAGAAATTTTTAGTTAAATCAACAAAGAAATGTGCGTGTTTCACCACTCATCTTTGTTTTACTGAGGGCATTAATGCCACTGTACCCAAAATCCTAATTTACCGATGTACTTGCGAACTCCTGCGATAATTTCCTAGCTGTTTCAGCCAAATATTAGGATAAGTCAACAACAAAATTTGTAAGTCGTTCGCAAATTAACACACCATTTCACAATGCCTTTTACAATAATTATGCCTTCTAAGCAAAAATTCACATCAATGGACTGAAAGAACTTGATCATAAATTTCAGTAATGGCTTTTGTTGTCGCTTTTGTGGTGTTCATGCACTGAAAAAGGAAAAGATGCCTTTAATGTCCATCTGACGCGTATAATGTCTGCTCTGATATCGGGCACTTTAACCTTAACAATAAACTTAAATTCAGTACTCTTAATAATATAAAATAACGCATCCGTTACTGAAAGAACTTACAGATTCGTTTCCTTTACTATATATGGACAAAAACTGAAATCTGTTTGTAAGATAAACGATTTCTTAATGGTGCGATTAATATATTGAACCACATTTCAATATTTCTTTATGAGCCTCGTACATCTCATTCTATCTTACAATGCACATAAAATATCCCATCTACCATTTATGTGCATTATTTCGCTTCCATTTTAAGACAATGTATAACGTGAGTGCTCAAATTGCGCATTTTTACTGCAATGATTGACTAGTCATCTCTTCTCATCTACTAACGCCTTGTATCGGAGAGCAAAACGTATTCATAGGTTTGAATTAGCTTATAGCTTATTGAAGGAGTTATTTTTAGTAGATTATTTACTTCCCACTGGTGTGTGCGATAGACTTACCTCCACGTGGTGCACCCTGGGCAACGTATACTCATACGACAAAAAAGTCTATTAATCGGCAGTTGACTTCTCACTTTAAACACCCATCACCCCCCACTGTGTGTCATATTCGACCCCTACACAGTACTCATCTTACCCTTTCTGAGCCTTTGTGTCGGTTTCTTTTGCATCTTTGAAACACCCTTCTATTCCCCCTCCTAAATTCTTCTCACTTTGATATTCCTCCTCCCCCCCTGTGAAGCCCGAAGTCAACTAAAGGGCTAATGAAAACTATCAAAACGTCTGCCATTTGTTATAAATAAATAAATTTATTTCCCACTAGTCTGCCACTCTACCCACCGATTTGTGTCTGTGAGTCAAAAGAGATTTCTGTAGGTTCACAACAGAAATTCTCTCAATCCTTTTTTTTTTAAAAATTGTGAAGGACCCAAGAGATAAAAGTGGAAATTCTTTCATTCAATCATTAAAATCGCCATCGATTAGTGAAGAGCATTGGAGCTTTTAATTGACAGTCGTATGTTAGCCACTTGATTACCTATTCACTTAATATTAATGTTACTACAATATTTCAAGTAGAGGCAAATTCACAATTCAAGTGGCCATGAAATGTTTACACACATTGTCTTGAAGATGCTAAGATGGTTTGAATTGCAAGACTCTGAGTCTATTCTTTTCCTATTAATGTTCATCAGTTTAGTGTAAATTTGTTTCCAATATGTAATGCGATTCCTCCACGGATGAAAATGGCGTTTTTAATGACAATTAGCTCCACCAACTTTTAATATAAGGACAAAGATATCTCTTCATTCGTCGAAGCTATTTAAAGTATATTTGTAATTTCGCGAGTTATTGCTCACTGAAAGAATCGACTGCTTTCCGAATACCAAAGTTGAAATATTACAAAATGCACCCTAATCGCCTCAATCTTCTAAGTAGTAGTTTACGACTGTGGATCTTCTAGCCCATAGCCCCATTCCTAGTCGATCTATTCACCTCAGATGGACAACTACTTTTTCTTACATGTACCCTTTTTCACTTTAATAAGGTCAGTAGACATCACGTTTTGTGAGAACGTTCTTGTTCAATTAAATATATGCAAGATTGGTCATGGTAGAACAATATTGCTCGTAAACTGATTTAAATGTCCAAAGAATAGAAATCACTTAAATATTATTTAATTACTAAAAGATCAAGGGATAATTACAGAAAGCGTGATATCCTTTCCACTCAAAATATTTCCATTAAAGAGAGATTAAATCTTTCACATTTGACCTTTTTGGAAATTGCTCCTCGTAGGAATAGATCAATTATCTCATTGTTTGTGCATTGTTTATCTATAAAAGATATTATGAGTTAAGAGTGATAATCGTTAATGCCCTTCTTTAAGTTCGAAGCATACTAGTTTAAATGCCATACGTGTGAGTGGTCATATATTTACATACACAATTGATCACCAACCTTGAAATTCGCAGTGATTCAGATTCAAGTATATAGAAAACTGTTACATCACTTCCTAAATTAGCATACTAAATACTCGATGGCATAGCAGTCAACAAAAACTCCACAAAGTTAACAACAGAGGGAATGCTGGGTTTCTTATCAGGACGCCCTTCCTTTCAAAAGGCCAAAGAATTAATTCTGAATAAATAATGAATTATGTTTAAGCAGTAAGAATTCATTAATTGAGTAAGAAATAAATTTTACCCGTATTCTTTGGAATGTATCATATTCAACAGAACATAGATCCATGCATTAAACAAGCCATAGTCCCTTCAGGACGTAACTGTTCGTTGTGTTTGCTGCGTGCACACTGAAAGCAGGGCATATGCGCGCTTTGTGGAATCCACTCGTCATGTTATTGGCTGAGAACACGCGTCTAATCAGATGCCGTTGACCTAATTTCTATTAGGCCCACGCTTAGAATATGTCAATAACCAGTTGTTAAAAATGGAAGCATTTTCACGAGAAAATAATCAATAGCATAATCATTGCTTTTATCTTTAAATTTTAGGATAAATTAACCAATTACTAAAATACCGACTTTAGGAAAAATGGGAGTAAATAACTGATATGCTCGTAACATATTCATTGAACTTCGTTCAAATTTGCGTAATTTAACATCTTTCTTTGGTAATCTATGCTTGAAAGGTAACCAAGTTGTCAATTAAGTTAATTATAGTTAGGTTTCCTATTCTTGAGTTTTATTTCATTTGAAAGTTCCTTATTCTAATCTTAAACTTAAGGTTACTTAAGAGTATTCGAATACTTTCAATTAATTTATTTTTTAACGTTGATATTTTTATATGTTTTGCAGATGGTTTGAACTCTGCCAAAAATATAAATTTCACAACATTTCTGAAAACCTCAATGACTGATTTGGCTTCAACTTACTTATTATTTTCGCAAAGATTCACGAGAAAAAGTGGGTCGATAAAAGATGACCCGTATTTTCAACGCATCCCCAGACGCATTGCGGACGCCAATTGGCTGCAACACAAATCGGGTGCACCAGGCGCGAGTTGATTGGCTAGCGATGGGGGGGAGGACCGGCGATAATTTACGTCAAGAATGGTAGCATTGGGAGAAAGTGAACACAGGCTTCCCGACTCTGCTTCTGCTATAACGCTGCAAGAAGCAGTAATCGGCCAGGCAACTACTGGAGGCTTGTACGCCGCCATTAGGAGAAACTCGAGTGAGTGAGTGTCATCTTCCAGCCTGGGAGAACCGAATTCTCTTACATCTCTTACACTCTTTCTCTCCTCTATTGTAGTAGTCTTGAGACACGATGGCTTCCGGACTCAAAATGTCCGGATGGCAGTTAAGGATTCTGCTCATTTTGGCAGTCTTCTGTCTGCTCTCTTCGGGTACGTCTTCTACTAACTAAGGCACTTTTCTAACCAAATTAACACGATATTAATGGAAGTCCTTGTGGCACTAATCTTTAGCTGAATCTATGTTCCGAGTCCGAAGACAAGCTGATGGTGCTGGAGAAGATTTTAACTTTGGCGGAGCTGATGAGGATGAAACTGATCCCCCAACTGAACCTGTGAGCATTTGGACTAATTTACCACTTTAAACTGAACCATTTTGGAATTCGTTCCTTTTATTTTTTAGAGTATTAAAGGTCCGGGGCCCTACCAGGGCCAGATTTTACAAGGACCTCGTGGCCCACCGGGGGAGATTGGTCCAGTAGGTCAACAGGGTCCAGCAGGACCCCAAGGTCCAATTGGTCCACAAGGTCCACCCGGTCCCCCTGGTAATGATGGTGCCCGGGGACCACGCGGTCCACCCGGTGAACCCGGTAGCGATGGAACCAATGGTGCTGATGGTGAACAAGGACCCTCTGGGCCTCCCGGACCTATGGGTCCACCTGGTCCCATGGGTATCATTGGTGCTACTGGTATCCAGGGTCCCCCTGGTGCACCTGGTCCAAAGGGTGATAAGGGATCGCCTGGTGCTGATGGTTCCATGGTATGTTTTTAATTGTCTATCTGCTACATACTTTCATAGCTCATAGTTTGAAAAACAGTTAGCAGAAGAACTTCCTGTTAACGAGTTATTAGTAAAAAATTAACAGATGGGGGGACTAACTGTCAGTATGCAACTGGTAAGATGAAAGCACATATTACTAAACATTGATTTTAGTAAACTGAAAAACAGAAAAAGATGGAGACCAGTCCCGAGATTCCTTCCCAAGTCTTTGTAATAGAAGTGAAACGGTGTTTGCACATTTTTTTCAAAAAATAATGACAATTTATTAAAGCAATATATAGTCAATGATGTTATACTAAGTTATTTATCTTTCAATTTAGGGTGAACGTGGTCCAATAGGTCCAAGAGGTCCGGCCGGTCCACCAGGCCCCCGAGGTCTTACTGGTCTCCCTGGTGCTCAAGGCCCAATTGGTCCAGTTGGTTTGCAGGGCGCTGATGGAACTATGGGGCAAATAGGTCCCCCAGGCATCCGTGGTCCACCTGGTGCAGCTGGTATGACTGGCCCAATGGGCCTCAAGGGTGATGCTGGAGACACCGGTCCTCAAGGACCTATGGGTGAATCTGGTGAAGCTGGTGCTGACGGTGCTCCTGGTGCCCCTGGAGTAGCCGGTGAAATGGTGAGCCCTTTATTAAATTATATTTCAGATTTCGACTACCTTACCAAACCAGTTGCTTTCGATTTTTAAAAAGCTATAATTTTTTCCTTTGCTCTTTATTAGAAATAGGATTTTGAGTTAAATTCCTTCATAAAGTTACTGATAAGTTAATCATTTACTTGATATTGCAGTGTTAAAAATCAAAAATATTTTCTTTAAAAGATATTTAAATTTCAGTCGTTTGATTAATTGAGAGAAAAATTACAGAGATAAAAATGAAATATGGGCTTTACTAACTTATTCATTATAATTTAAAACAACACGACTAAAATGAAATCACCGGAATAAAGGCAATTAATAAGATTAATGAGCAAATTTGATCGACGCGTGTGTTTTAATATAAATTCAAACAAGAAGCTTTTAATATGGATAGTTAACCAAAATATTAACAAATATTAGACTTTTAATTTTTTGCTTTGAAAACTCACGAAACCCTGTTCCCATATTTTAATTACTTTAATCAACTCATAATTTTGTTACTTAGAATTATGAAAACATAAATAAATGATTACATTTGGAATGATTTTAGGGTCCTCCTGGTAAAGACGGTGCCGTGGGAGCCAGAGGAGAACAGGGACCTGTTGGTCCGGTCGGTCCGCCAGGTCCAGCTGGTCCTCGTGGTCCTCCTGGCCGCGCCGGTTTCCCAGGTAGTCAAGGTCACCGAGGTGACCAGGGCCCACCCGGACCTCAAGGTCCTTCTGGTCCTCCTGGTCCAGCTGGTAGTTCTGGGGATGCCGGTGAACGTGGTCGCGTTGGTCGCCCTGGTGACGCTGGTAAACAAGGTCTTCGTGGTCCCCCAGGACCTACTGGTGAAAGGGGGGATATTGGTGCTCCCGGTGCCCCTGGTATGCCTGGTACTCCAGGTATTGACGGCCCCCCTGGACAACCTGGTGCAGCCGGCAAGGATGGTGAACCCGGTCCAATGGGTGCTCGTGGACCCCCTGGTCCTGCTGGCTCACCTGGAAAACCAGGAGAAGCCGGTCCTCGTGGTTATCCAGGATCTCCTGGTCGCGATGGTGCCTCTGGTCCTCGTGGTGATGTTGGAGAACGCGGTCCAGATGGGAAACCCGGAGAAGAAGGATCCCCTGGGCCTGATGGTCTTACTGGTCAACAAGGTCCCACTGGTCCTTCTGGTCCTTCTGTAAGTTTAGTTTCCATTCAAGCTTATGAATTTCGTATATAATACTTAGTTTATCCTCTTCAATACTTCATTTTTAGAAGTAGCATTTGCAGATTTTTAAACTATTAATATTAAGACGTTCTGTTACGTTTTAGTCACGCATACCTTCTCCATTACTCATTCTTGAAATGATTAATAGCTTTTAATACATTTGAATATAAAAAAAGATTTTATGTTGAACATATGATATACAAAATATTACTCATTAACAACGTACTTCTTTACCTTAAATTGTTTATTAAAAAATATCAAATATGAAAGAAACTTTATTTTAAACTAATTAAATTATGTTTTACTAATATGACTTAGATTTTCCAATTTGCTATTTTTATAACAATTGTACAAAATATTTAGGGTCCTCGTGGTGAGCGTGGTCCGACAGGAGAGGCTGGAGAGGCCGGAGCCAAGGGTGAGAAGGGTAGCCGAGGACCCGCAGGCCCTCGTGGTAACCGCGGAAAGGTCGGCCAAGCTGGCCCTGAAGGTCCCACAGGTGCTGATGGTGAGGCAGGTCCTGAAGGTCCACCTGGGCCAGCAGGTAGCGCTGGACCTCCAGGTCCCGTAGGTCCTCCTGGAAACAAGGGTCCCGCTGGACGCGACGGTCAGGCAGGTGAGAGTGGTAATGTCGGACCCCCGGGTCCACCTGGTCCCTCTGGTCCACCTGGTGCTCAGGGCGAACGTGGTGAGGTCGGACCTCAAGGATATCCTGGTCAGCCTGGAACCAAAGGTCCTCGCGGAAAAATGGGACCTCCTGGTAGCAACGGGCCTGCTGTGAGTTAATCATACTGATTATGAATTACAGTTATCCCGTTTGGTGTGGAGGAACAAATGAGGTGGTAATCTTGACTTTAACTGAAAAAAATAGTGAGGAGGTAGATCTCGTATTTGGATGATATTTTAAGAGGAAGAAAATAGGATGGATATGTGAATGTATAACGTATGTGAATACACTGGAAATGTTGAGGTAATTTGCTATAAATAACTACCTTGTAAACACATTAAAGCATCCACGTAATTCAATTACAACATTTAGGGACCTCCTGGTGCCCCTGGTGCCCGTGGTATGCCAGGACCTCGTGGTCGAAAGGGACCCGCTGGTAATCCCGGTAAGGAAGGTCCTCCAGGTCGCGATGGTAAAACTGGTCCAGCTGGTATTCAAGGTGAAGAGGGTCCGCAAGGGGCTACAGTAGTTCAAACCTACGGACATACTCGCACTGGTCCCTCTGGTCCAAAGGGTGACATGGGTTATAGCGGTGCCCCCGGTCCTGCTGGTCAAGTTGGTAAGACACTCTTGACATTTCCTTATCATGAAACAACTTATTAATTACAGAAATAGGAAAGAGGTAAAGATCTAATATCGACCATTTTACCGTTTAAAATTCTTTTAAAGTAGAAGAGAGAAGAGACAGGAGCAGAGTAGAAGAAACATCCTGTATTTAAATGACAGACACATGTGTTAGATAAAATGAAAATATCTAATAAACGGTTTAACGATTGAAGGATGTTTCATGGACAAAGTAGTGTTAAGATTGCAATAAAATTGCTAATTGAATAGCGATTACATTTTAAATTTAGTCGTGGGCAAGTTCCCAAACTTGGCAAGTAAATAATATGTGGAAGGTCAGCCAAGGACAAAAAATATCGCAATTATAAACGCGATTAGCTATAGTGGGAATTGGCAATAGTTTCAAGCACTACCCCAACTTGTAAAAAGTGAAAAGCGGGTGAAATCAATGATATGACTTTTACCTCACCTATCTTTAAAGAGATGAGTGCAGCTGTTACCTAGATTTCTCATGGAGAGCACCAGAAGTAGTTATAATACTTCATTCCTCATGGAATAATAACCGGTAGAGTGGTCTCTGTATCACACTCTCTGTTCAGAGCTTTTCAATAGCCCCATTATTAACTGAACATTTCCTGTTCAGGTCCTCCTGGCGACACCGGTCCTCAAGGTCCACCTGGAGCAAACGGTGAAGATGGTCCACCAGGTCCGGAAGGTCCTCGTGGACGCGACGGTATGGACGGAGCTCCTGGTCGTCCAGGTAAGCGTGGTGCTCCCGGACCACGTGGGGCTGACGGTCTCCCTGGTCCTGATGGTCCACCTGGTGATGATGGACCAATGGGTCCCCGTGGACAAGATGGTGCGATGGGTGCATCCGGTGAGCGCGGTCCTCCTGGTGCTGACGGTGCACCTGGCGAAGACGGTCCCAAAGGCCCAACTGGTCCCGCTGGTCCTATCGGTTTCCGTGGACCTGCTGGCAGCTCTGGAAAGGATGGAGCTAAAGGCCCCACTGGTGATGTTGGTCCTGATGGTCCTAAAGGATCCTCTGGTCCTTCCGGTCCCGTTGGAAACGACGGTCCCCCTGGTGCTCAGGGCGTTCAGGGACAACCTGGCCGTACAGGCCCACAAGGACGTCAGGGCCCTGCTGGAAAGGCTGGAGCTCAAGGCAAGCCCGGTATCAAAGGAAAACAGGGAAATGAAGGTCCACAAGGACCCTCTGGTCCTCAGGGACCTCCTGGACCCGCAGGTGAAGTTGGTGAACCCGGTTTGACTGGAGAAGTTGGTCCCCAAGGTGTTCAGGGTCCTCCTGGTGAGCGCGGTCCACAAGGTCCGGAAGGTGATGCAGGTGAAACTGGTCCTGATGGTGCTCAGGGTGCCACTGGTCCAATGGGTCCAACTGGTCCAGTTGGAGACCGTGGTGAACCCGGTGAAGACGGTCCAGATGGTAAACCAGGCAAACCTGGAGAACAAGGTCCACGCGGGTATCCCGGTCGTGCTGGAATGAATGGACTTCCTGGTAGAGCTGGTAAACCAGGACCTATCGGTCATAAGGGCTGGATGGGTCCTCCTGGCGATCCTGGACCGAAAGGTCAACGAGGTAGCAAGGGGCCTACTGGACCTAGAGGTCATCAAGGTCCATCTGGTCTTCCTGGAGAACAGGGTCCACAAGGCCTTGAAGGGCCAATGGGAGAGATGGGTTACCAAGGAGAACAAGGTCCATCTGGTTTGCCCGGTCCACCAGGTCGTGATGGTCCTCAAGGTCCTTCCGGTCCAATTGGTAATCAGGGTCCACCTGGTCCCCCTGGTCCACCTGCTGTTACATATGACATGGCTTTCAACGACGATGCTGCTCAGGCTCAATTCATTGGTACTGACAGCATTGACAAGCCTGACGGCTCACGTAAGCTCCCAGCTAGAACATGTAAGCATCTTGCTCATGTGAACCCTCATTTACCTGACGGTTACTACTGGATTGACCCTAATGCCGGTAGCATTAAGGACGCCATTGAGGTCTACTGTCACATTCAGACTGGTGAGACCTGTGTAAAGCCCAAGACTGATGATTTCGAAACTAAATCATATCAAGATGTTAGTGCAGGTGAAGAGCATTGGTTCCATGATCTCCAGGGCAGTAAATTGGTGAGCAAAATTCATAGTTGAACGTTGATATCATCAAAAGCGGAATTTAATCTACTTTGCATTTTCAGTTCGATTATAACGTTCCCGGAGATCAACTATCCTTCTTGAAGCTACTTAGCTCTAAGGCCAAGCAGAATGTGACTGTGGTATGCCGTCAGTCATCCCAGGATGAGGCTCGGCTTATGTCTGACAATGACCAGTACTTTTCACGCAACGGTGAACTTTTCCGTTACAATGTTCTGCGTGATGAATGCCAGGTTAGTGCTAAAGTGTTCTCAATAGCCAATAGTTGGATATAATGATACCTACTTCTAGCTTGACTGATTCCCTTTATAGCACCTGAAGGATAGCTACGGCAATACAGTTTTGGAAGTAGTGAGTAGACCGCAACGACTACCAGTGCGCGATATCTCCTTCCGTGATGTTGGTGGTGCCACTAAGGAAGTCGGAGTACGATTGAGTCCAGTATGCTATGCCTAGGCTGGTTTCGAGCTAGCTGACTCTGTAGACAATCTACTATTAACCAAACAACATCTAAATCAGTCAGCCAGCCAGTTGCCAATACTCAACGCAAACAGCATTCATAACGACCGGGCATGCGTGCACACTGGGACCTTGTTTTTTTTCCCCTACCTCCCTCAATTTGACCTTTAGACCACTCTTCCCTCAGCCCAGTGTTCCGTACCTTCATTATACTTCATTCTCACCCCCTCTTTGTCCCCCCCCCCCACAAATTCTTCAACCAATCTGTTGGTCTCTATCTCGTGATTCTGGTGTACATTGACAATGAGATCGGTGCTTTTGGCGTAATAAAATAAAAGTGCAAAAACTTCTATTTTTTGAAATGTCACCCCTTTTGAAAGATATGCTTAGAGATTTATTAAAACATTAAAAATATAAAAGGATTAAATTGCATTGCGAACGACTAATAAATGGAATAATAATGATTAAATTAATTAAAACAATTAATAAGACAGTTTCCCAATTGTCACTGCAGATATATCAATCTTGAATGCTGATACAACTTATTTCGCAAATATCTTATTCTAAAACCTAATAAGAGGGCATTGCGACAATAGTAGAAGTTGTAAGAAAGAAACACGCCAACTATCAATTTTACTAAAGCATGCATCTAGACGACAAATCGGAAAAATTACGAGTGTGATAAATTTTTTTAAGTTTCTTCTATCTTAAACCATAATTTTAAATAGCTAAGGAAATACACTATTGTGACAATATTAACATCAAGCATAGAAAGCTTCTAGACACATGTCCAACGAATAAATTAGATAAAAATTATCCATTCAAGTTCGAATTAAGTAAAAGAATTAGGCAGAGAGAAAGCTGTCAGCATTTTTTGGGGAACAACGTCAAAATGACTGAAGCAAAGAAGTGCATGTGTGTCCAAATATTACGAAAAATTACATGCAACATTGCAATCACACTCTGAGGTTTCATTTAAAGAGACCTCTTGATCAATCAATAACCAAAGTCATTATCTAATTATCATACCCGAAGGTGTTTATGTTGACTAAGCTCCCTTCAGTCAAGAACAAAACACGTACCAACAGTACAATCCATCGGACACGTCCTTTATACATCCTCTTCAAACTCGCAGGATCTGTCATAGAGATCAGTGAGCATTAGTTAAAGCTACACATTGCATTTAATGGGATGAGTTAAATAAGGTTTTTGAAGCATTTGGAAGTATATGTTATTGTTGAGCTCGTGTATGTTATGTCTCATGAGGAATTGGTTTAACCTCAAACACGTGAGCTTGAGTACGTGTGAGCCTAGTCCTGACGCATGTATTGCATTCCGTCAAGTGGAAAAACTATCTTACCTTTAGAACTACAAATAATCCGTGAATTATGGAGATTGAAGAAAGTAAACTATCTGATTTCAACCAGGAAATTTGTACTTTCCCTCAATAAACTCGAATATAAAGTGATTAAAGTTGTTAAATTTAGGAAAATTCTGGAAGGTATCAGTGGCTGTATAGATAAGAAAAAGCAGATTCATTAGTGGGAGAAAAAACCTAAAATAAACAACTTTCTTATAATTATAAGTAGTGGCCTCTGTATTACTAATGATATTATTATCTTTTTGGAATTAAAATGCATCATTCTATCATCATTTTTAGCTATACTAAACATATTTATGAGTTTATTAACTCTCGATACGGCCTTTCACGAACAGGCTCTAATTCGAATTACATAGGAAAAATCAAAATCCAATAATTGAAGTGTCAAATCACATTATTTTGGATCTGTGAATTACACTTTTCGACTAATACTGATTCCAAAAGTCTATTTAAAGCGCAATAAGATAAATAACGCAACCAAAACCAATATGTGGGACACGCCATCGCTTAGTCAACATCCCCAATTGTGCTCAGGTACTCCAGCCTCTCACGGATTTGCTAAAAGGCAACCCAAAGCACTTCCGGTTGACACCAGAGGCTGAATCCGCATTCAAGGAAGTGAAGCAGCTGCTCTCTAAGGCGACTACCCTAAACCACCTCGACACCTCCGATGGGACACGTCTAATCCTGAAGACTGACGCTTCACAGGTGGCAGTCGGGGCAGTCCTGCAACAGGTGGTTAGGGGCGCAACCCAGCCACTCTCATTTTTCTCCAGGAAGCTTACCGCTCCTGAGACCCGATATAGCACATTTGGCAGGGAACTTCTCGCAATCTACCTGGTGGTCAAGCACTTCCGCCATATATTGGACGGTCGTCAGTTTACAATATTTACTGACCATAAGCCTCTGATTTATGCATTTCGGACCAACTCAGACCATCACTCCCCCAGGGAAACCCGCCACTTGGATTTCGTCCTGCAATTTACAAACGATATTCGTCATATCGATGGCGCGCGTAACGTGATTGCAGATGCAATGTCCCGTATGGAATTGCACCAAGTAGGGGTGTCCTCCCTCGATTTGCGAGCCCTGGCCACCGAACAAAAGTTGGACCCTGATTTCAAGGAAATCATGTACAATCCTGCGTTACGCTTCGAATGTTTGCCACTACCGGACTCCGATACTCAGATCCATTGCGATGTTTCAACCGGCAAGCCNATTCGGAACACGGTTAAAGACGACCTCAGATGCTCACCAGCGGAACTTGTTTTCGGCACCACGCTCCGACTCCCGGGAGAAATGATTTCCTGCTCCCCGGATACGCCGATGGTAGACCCTTTGTCGTACACCTCCCGACTCAAGGGCCATTTCCGGTCCGTCCTTCCGACACCCCCTCGTGCTAGCGATAGACCAACGCACATTCCCAAAGACCTGAACATTTCTCCTTTCGTTTTTGTCCGTGTAGACACAGTCAAGAAGTCACTCCAACCACCATACGACGGACCGTACAAGGTCCTACGGCGCGAACCAAAATTCTTCGTCCTCGACCGGAATGGTATCAAAGATTCCGTTAGCATCGACAGGTTGAAACCGGCTTATTTGGAAACTTCGACTACACCCACGTCGGATACACCTTCGACCCCTATTACCTACCCAACTCCTTCTCACGTACCTGTTAATTCCCCAGACACTCCCGGTTTACAACCCGTTCCTCACCTTCCCCGACCCTATTTTACACGTTGTGGCCGTAGAGTTACTTTCCCCTCTCGACTTGTGGATTTTGTACATTAACCGAACCTAACGTTCCGAGGTTATCTCCTTTTCCACACATACCTGCTCCCGCTCCCGCCTTTCCAATGTTGTATATTGACTGTTTTCGAGCGTTTTCTTCCCTTTTTAGGCACCCACAAACGCTCTGGGGGGGGGGAGTTATGTGGGACACGTCATCGCTTAGTCAACATCACGTTCAAACTTGCGTACGGATCAGTTGTGGCGACCTCACTGACATTAACCAATCAGAGACGCCCATTTGTTTTACCGGATTCACCATGTTGATAATGACTAAGTTCCTTCCTTCACACACGACTGACGTGCTACGTAGTAAATAAACGTATCCCTTCTCGCTCGCCTCTTTCCTCCATAGCTTTGCAATAGCAGCTAGTTTGGGAGGCTCATCGATAGTAGAGATAACTGAGTACAGACTAGGCTTATTTGGTGTAGCAGTCCGCTACAAATATTTCACAAAATTTCATTCCACATATGGAATTAATAGAAACGTGGAATGCAATTATTCAGCGTTTCTTATGTGATGATAACAAATAGCAATTTCAATATCAGAAAACATTCAAAGATCACTAATAAATTTTCGTAATAGATAATAGGTCGAAGCTAAAGTGCAGTTTCTAGTGTGCAGTCAACATTGCAATACGACCGCAAATAAAGGATAAAAAAGGATGAATGCCTATAAATATATCAATTTACTATTCATTCGTTCCTCATTTTGTACCTCTTTAGTATTATGTGGAATAGCTAATTTTGATCTTGAAAACGCGCTTTTCAAAAATGAAGATATTTTACATGTTATAAATAATACTTTCACCTCTTTTTGAATATAGTATTTTAAAATAACGATAAAATAGTTGTGGGATCATTCACTTGGGCCATAAATGAAACCTGTGGTAATCATTTAGGAAAGTGAAAAATAAAAGTGCCATTTCTCGAGAAAATAAATGTAATGGATCATTACTTGAAATATATAGTGGAAAAAACTGGTAAATTTTTATTAGTTTTTGAGTTTAGAGCATAATTTTTATTTATGCAATGAGATTAATAAGGTCTTTAGATGCATCGACTGAATAAAAAATAAATCAAAATAGCATGAAAATCTACTCATTTTTTCATAGATCTCTCTTTGTCTTAGTTAACTCGGTAGAATACGATTACATAACTCGTGATTCTTATTAGATATTTTAATAATTTGGAAAATTTAACTAACTTAACACTTTAATATGAACGTAAGCGTTGTTAGTGTTAGAAACCACCGATATCCGGGGCGATGATTCAACTTGGTCTACTCATTTCGATATAAGGTGTGCTCGTGTCTTGTATTCGATTATTCAAGTAATTTTCAGATAAATAATTTTTTGCTAATTTTAAGATAAATCATGCTTTATTTCTTATAATACTTATTTTTCTGTCGTTAATGGTAAAGTATTTTTTGTGTGTAGCGATGTCTATTGACCCTGAGGTCCTCCTCGATGTCATTGGTACCCTGCCATCGGGATTACAGGATAAATCTAAAGAGCAGACTCTCCGTGCTTATCTCTCCAATCCTGTTTACTCGTTAGATTCTTTAAATTCACAAACAATTGTCTTATCTCAGTTATTTTCAAAACTCCTATCTAATTCTGCTAACGCAGATTGCTGTGATTTATTCTTATATGCGACGTTGAATTGTCATGCCGATATTTGGTTTGGTTTACTTATTTCAAATCTGCAACGAGCAAATGTTTCCTCAGGAGAACTACAGCAATGCATTAATCTCCTGTTGAAGTTTCTTTTGGATTATGGGCGTTTTCCCCAACTACTGTCAGCAATTCATAATATATCTCTCTGTATACCAGCTCCCAATCGATATTCCTTTATTGTAGATAAGTTACGCCAAATTGTTAACGTCCCGACGATTGTTAATAATTCTATTAAATCAGCTTCACTGCCAAAATTATTCAGATCTGAGGTTTATTTTCCTTTCATTCTGCGGCATTCTACTGAAGTTAATTTATCTCAAATGAATCCTATACTCATTTCTCAAGCTTGCCTTCAAGGCTTTGGGAACGATGCTTGGAATTGTATCCTACAACAAATTTCTCGTTCAATGGAAACCTCAATTATTTGGAGTTCAGCACTTTCCCAAATTCAAGAAAGAGCCCTTGAGCCAACCATTGTTCCTCTTCTCAAAAAGGCCTCTCATCCTCACCTAGTTACCATTTGTCTTTCTTCGGCTCTAAAATCTCCCCTTCGAAGTTCCCTTTTAAGGTTGTTTAATCGTCTTCTATTCTTCCGCCATTTCCCTCCTTGTGTGCCCGTATGTATTTTCGGTTTTCTGAAGGAGGTTATCACTGATGATCTCTACATTCGTGTAGAAAAGGACCTGGGTCTAAATTTGCTGAATTGTTGGTCAGATTCTACTGCTCTCAATAGCAGTTCATCGCATAATCGTATCTACTTGAATCAGGCTCTCGTTGCTTGGGTGTGTGCATTTCGAGAATACATTGTCAAATCCCCGAATTACCATACTATGTTGTCCTGTGTTTTAAAGGGGATTTCAGCCCATCTTTCGTGCAATATAGAGGAACAGAGGGTGCTTGGTATGAGCGTCGGTGAATGGCTAATGGAAAAGTTGGAAATTGGCAAAAAAGAAGACGGTGATAGCGAAAAAAATTGGCTTAAATTTGAGTACATTGAAAATGAGGCGGTCAAACAAGTTAAGCCACTGTTTCAGCCAATTCCACCTTACATATCTTCTGAAAGTCAGCAAAATTATGGTAGGTCAAAATTACTACATCTGATTGCGCTTAAGTTTTATTAATCCATTCTCTTTCCTATAACCTAAAACCAACATTTCCGTGACTGTCTGGAGAAGCATTTTCCATTTACCATTTAAGGTTCGATGATATCATAGTGGCTTCCTTTACAAGACTTGAATTCTGCCACTCTAATAACATTCAGGGTTGACCGATTTCGTTGATCGTTCTCATATGAGATTCAAACTTATTACCTCTAACGTTTCAGTAGTGCATAATCGTGTACATATACGAAGGTGATATTCTTTTCTCTGTGCTGAAAATTTTCTCAGGAAACTCCTGATTCCTGTCTGTTGTGTTGTGCAACAAGATATTACTTTTAGCAGCTTTTATTTATCGCATTTTGCTATACAGTATGGAACAGTTGATAATCTGATAATCTTATCCAATAATCTGAAGCTTGTATTTGATCATTGTATCGGCCCATCTTGCCAACTGTTTCTTATTCTTTAAAAATTTTGTGTGTTTAATTTACCAGCTTTAAGTTTTGTTAAATTATTTAGAGGATAGGACATTTCTTAAACTCACCATGACTATTTCTTCTGCTATTTAGATTTAGATGAGATTTTCAGTTACCCACCTGATGATTCTTTGACCAACGGTCCATCAAATGTACCCTCAATAGTCTCAGAGCTGGATAGTGACGATGATCCAGATGAAGAGGAAATTGAATTAGCCCAAAAGTTTCCCAAGCTTCCGGAATATTCAAAGCCTGCACCAACCGGTTGGCCATTCAGAGAGCGTCGACCGCACTACCTGCGTGAATGTATGGACGGGTTGAGTGGCGTGCAGCATGAATCGGATGATGTTTCCAGCAATGAGGTTGCTCTGTCATGTTTTGCTCATGCCAAGGAGTTAATTTACCGACATCGTGGTGGAGCTGTGGATGAAATTGCCACCTCCTTTGCTGATATTCTCCTTCATACAGAACCTCCTGCTTGTCCTGATACTGATAAGGTTAACTGATTCGATGATATATTCATTTCCGTTTTTCTATGTTCTATCTAGCTAACGTTCATATAGCTTTTAGTTCGTCAGTTATAAATTAAGGGGATTTTCAAAAGAATTTCGGTTCGTATATGCTAATGACACTGAGATCACTGAATTTCTTCTACTTCAGAGGCAATGGTGTTACTGACTAACTTCACTTGTTGGATCTATTCAACATGAATGGGAGTTTTTCATAAGATCTACTCCAAATTTTCCAAATCATTTGTCGTTAGGGCTTTCCTTATTGGATTAGATAAGTTGCACCCATTTTTGCTTTCTCCTCCAGTGGTATATCGTGAAGGTACCATTTTCTTTTTGAATGCCTTGTCTTCTTATCACCCCGACTTCGACTTTTAACTAGTTGGTGTGTTGATACAGATATGCGAGTGTCTCTATTTTCGCCTAAAATCCCCCTTTATGTCATTTTTATTGCCATTAGGAGTAAACATGCGTTATTCATTTTATTCTCTCTGAATTTGACGCTGACACTGATGTGTCATCTCAATATGATATATTGCTCAGTCATTTTTAATTCTTCAGGCTAATCTTATAGGTTAGTTCCTCTTGGCAAAGTGCTAGGTTTATAATGCTCTAAATAATAAATAAAAAACGAAACATTGCAATTCGAATCATTTTCCCTCAACGCATTCTGTGTGTGATTAGAAAGTTCTATTGAAGTTTAGATATTACGTCCACTGAGAATCAGGTTATACTGGATATCGTTTCCATCTCTCGAGAACGAAAATTTATATTTATTTATTTGTATCTATTGGCATGTTCTTATGATAGTTATCATTAGCCATTTAGCTGACCTCGGGCTACACAGAGGGTAGGAACGTCAAAATCACAGAAATGAGAGAGGGGGAACAGAATTGCAATTCACAGATGTAAAAGAGAGGTCCAAAAGGGAAGAAATTATTTTACTGAATATTCTTTTCAAGCAATAAGTTCCAAACTAACCTCTGATCGAATGGATAGTTTATTTAAAATGATCACGTGGTTCTCAATAGAAAAATCTTTCGTTTCAATGTTGGTTTTGATTTGTTTCAGGTGAATGAATCACGTAATGAAGCTCTGGTTGCCTTGGCAGTCACATCTCCACGTCGAACAGTTCGCTACTTAACAGGTCAATTGACTCAATCAAGTTTGGGCATCAACCAGCACCATATTATTATAGCAGTTCTCACATCCGCAGCTGTAGAACTAAAGGAAAACTTTATCCCTGTCGTTGGAGATTTCTTCTTTCCCATGCTCCGAGCTGCTGACCACTGGGCCTCTCGCAAACCCGATGACGTCTATAGTCATCTCGACGATGGAATTCTTGCAAGACTAGTTGCCTCTCTGGGATCCATGTATGCATTGGCCTCTAATTCTCCCTTGCTTCCACGCATGGTTAAAGGTTTGTTGGACCTTAGTGAGGCCCTTTTAGCCCCAAAACGTGATCCTGCAGTTCGAAGAGCACTCCTTACTACCTTAAATGTCATGCTCACAGCGACAGATTCTTCAGTGTTCGCAGCGAATTATCAGCTTTTCCTGAGTAGTAATTTCACTAGCCGGCTTCTCAGGACACTACAGGTGGAAACAGATTCGGATTGTCAGAAATTAGCCCAATTTGCCCTGGCTTTTCTTCGACGCAATACTGTCGAATTTATCGGTGCTGATTTGGGTGGGATTGCTATTACGGACTAACTCTTTGATTATGTTTTTTTACATTGAATATACCACGTATATATATAAAAATCCGTCCTTCCGCTTTTCTCTGTTACTTGTTTGTTATTTAAATCGCAACGTTCTATTTGAATTTTGTGAAGATTTCTTGGAGCTTATCTGTTGAGAAACTTGCTTGCTGCCATCCGTCCAATATAGGTATATCGTTTAATAAACGGTAGTGGTATATGAGTTTCTCTTTCAGATAGCCTCCATGTTGCCTATTCTTTTAAAGTGCTCTTTTCCATAAAATCACTACATTCATTTATTGCCAGTCTTTCAATGTAGATTACTAGAACTATGGAATGTGATGAGCCAATCGAGGTGACTCCTGGAATGCAGCTTAATGGGAAAGCAGTTGCTGACCAGCCTTCTCTGCAACACATGGTTCATGCTGAAGTTCGGCTAACTCGTAATAGTATTGCTTCTAGGGAAAGCGTCTGTCAGGCGGTTGAGATGTTTCTGCGTGCCAAATCGGGACCTTGTAATTTGCCCTCTCACCTTGAAAGTGCAGATTTTGCAGAGTTGACATCGGGGAAAATAGCTTTTATGCAGGAGAATGTCGCCTCTATAAATGTACGTATGCATTGGCATACGCAAATGTGTTTTACTTATATAAAAATTGGGTGTTTTCTTTAGGACTAGCAATAGATAAACGCATTTCCTTTTCTCACCGTTCGGCCCATTCTTTTTGCTTCTTGGGGATACCTATGCTTATGCATAGCGAAACTGAAAAGTGGACGTCATTACCTGAATGACTCGTTGTTCCTATCTTTTTACCCAAAATAAAATATTCATCATGCGACTTACCGTGGAAACCTTTTTATAGGATATTAAATGCTCATGCCGTAACGTTTCTTGCGTAGACATCCCTTTCCTATGCTGCTAGAACTTCTTCTTGAGATTTGCTAGATAGTTTCTGCGGCCACATTTGCGCTTGTTTCTGAACTTCAAGGGAGCACCGCTAATTTGGGTACACTTTGTAACATTGAAGCGTCTGATTATTTTTTAAAGTAGGTATTTTTCAAATCCTATCCCATTTGTGTCTTCAAACATTCATCTTGAAATTCAGTCATATCTCTTTTTACTCAAACTGGGATGCAGACAGGCTCATTGCGCCAATAGTTAAAAGAAACAATAATTTCATCGTACTTCTGATTGAGATGCTAACTACCTTATCTAAAGTTTTCCTCTCCAGTCATTTACTCTCTTAATTATTGTGGCCACCTAATCGTTCTATCTTGGTATATAGAGATTACTATTCCTGTCCCTAGTTCAGTAGCCACTCTCATCCCTATTTGTTTGCTTAGAAACCTTTATTTTTATCTCCGAGAGTTCGGATCGATAAACAGCAATTTTCCTAGAATGTCGCTCTAATCTACTCGATATTGTTTTCATTATAGCTGAGTACCGAAGATTCCGATTGCCCAATCAGTTGTGAATCAGCTTGCCAAACTACCTGTTTAGAAAAAGCTCCGCTTATGTATCATGTGTATCGTCTTGTCCATGGTGACGAGGCTGACCCTACTCATGAAACCCTTGAGGTGGCTAATGAGGTCATTCGCGGAGGTACTCGTTGGGCTCTTCCCTCCACCTCCTTCGATGGACTTTGGGACTCCCTAGTCTATGATTCAACTGTCAAACGTGATCTTCTCAAGTACTCGGAGTCTGCTCTCTTGTTTGCTGATTGTCAAGTAACTTTTCCACGCTTTTATTTATAATTTGTCTCTCAAGTTGGGGTAAATGAATTTATATTCTTAGCTATGGGGATATAATTTGGAGAGAATGATTATCTGTTCCATGCGGTTAGAGTTTATCTTTTTCATTTCTCAGTTCAGGAGACTATATTTTTTTCATAATTACTTAACGTCGTGTCATGCGCAATTAACATCCATATATTTAAAAGTACTTATTGATTTTTGACCTTTAGAGACATGAGTCAGCTTTGCTTCATGCTTTACTCACAATAGATCAACAAATAAAGACATTCATTTCAATTTTATTTCCTTTGGTCATTGATTTTTTCGCGATTCCCTTCTGTGTTTTGAAAGGTATTTTTGGTGTGAGAGAACAAGAGAGGCTTTTCATATCAGCTCAAGGTGAAATCTTCGTCGAACCTTGCTCTAAGGGTTTTCCAAGGGAATCCGCTGATCAAGCTAGCATTTTAGCGTTCATTTTGAAGACTCTCGTTGAGTAATTTGGTCATAAAACTTGAGCATTATGGTATTTAATATGTGGGAAAGGTTTCCAGTTGACGTCCTTTCAGTATATAATAAAGATCAGCGGTGTGTGAGTTTTGTAGGTTGATATCTCCTGAACACTGGAAACTAGTTTTTTACCATTTTTTTGCTTTTCTGCTTATTATAACGTTAAAATTACCCAGACTTCAGAATAATGAGTGATTTGACCCATTGGAAGAGTTAATTTCGCTTATATTGATTGGATTCATAGTCTGGTTAACCATACTATTAGTAGTGCTGGTTCTTACTATCCACTTGTGAGCGTAAACTTCCAGTAATCGATCGCATAGTTTGTGAGAAATGAAGTTTATGGGTTTCACTCAAGTGTGCCAGAAATATTCTGTTGGGGTCATTGGTATTGTTTGTCCAAGATCGTGTGCATAGTCAGGTTTGGATAGGTACTATTTTGAAGCTTCTAGAATATCCGTGGGTTATTCTATCTTCTAGGTAAGTCAACATGTGATCGCCTGGAACCGTGTTATATTTCTTCACGGACCACCAGGAACTGGTAAGACATCGCTTTGTCGTGCTCTGGCTCACAAACTCTCCATCCGTCTCTCGCATCGTTTCACCTCTTCCGCTTTGATTGAGATCAACACAGTCAATCTTATGTCTAAATGGTTCTCTGAGTCCGCTCGTCTAGTTTCTCAGATGTTCACTTCCATCTTCGAGTACCTCGAAGATCCTGACCATCTCGTTTTTCTTCTTGTCGATGAAGTTGAAAGCTTGACTGCTGTGAGAAAATCTGTGGCTTCCTCTTGTGAACCGAGTGACGCTCTACGCGTTGTCAATGCAGTCCTAACGCATCTAGACCAGGTTCGCTAATACTTATAATTCCTTATACTTATTACATATCAGTAGAAATGACATTATCTTTTAGCTGAAGCATTATTCAAATGTTATGGTGATGGCCACCTCAAATGTGACTGGTGTTGTTGATCCCGCTTTTCTGGATAGAGCTGACATTCGGGCATATATCGGGCCTCCTTCAGCTGTAGCTATATACTCAATCTACTCCTCCTGCTTGAACGAACTCATTCGAGTCGGCCTTATTGAGCGCCAAAAATCTGGTCTTCTCAGCTACCGAGTGCTATCCGCTCTGCAGTTTGTTGGAAGTTCGGTAAGTTTTAATAACATGACCATGCTTGATTCAAGTGCAAAATAACGTTTCGGTGGGAGTTCCAAGCGAATTGGATATTCATTTGGGTTCTACAGTAACCGGTAGGGAATTATTTGTTTCCACTACTCTTATAATGGCAATATTTCGCTTTATTTTACTCATTTTCCAATATTTAACTCCACAGACACTTTTCCTTCTATACCATTATTACGTAAATTACATGAAGTCACTTTCGTACTCCTGATTACCACCTTGGCTCTGGGGAAAATGGTGTGAGGGTTTGCTTTCTATATGTCTCCTAAAATTATTTGTATTAGCATTTTCTTTTAATTCTTTCGCTTTTTTTAAAAATTTATATTTAATTGTTATGTTACTTCACCAAACGATTTAAACCAATGGTCTATCGTGTTTGCGGTTACTTCATTTCCCTATACGCAAATATCAATTTTCGAATATAACGTCCATAATATGCGCGATTTTATCTGTTCTCTTCTTCACTGTTAAGCGTGAGTGTTTTTCCTAGCTTTTACAGAATTGTACATCAATAAAAGTAAGGACTATTGCCTCCAAGAGTCACTTAAACAATGTTATCCTAAAAATTCCCAACGATGTCACTTATTCAACTCGATGGTTTTACCAAATGCTTAGAAATGGATTTTACTTTTTTAAATCAATTAGTGCAGTTCTTTGGTGTACAGTTCCGTTAATTGATCTCGATTTACTTCAATCTTCACTAGTGCATTAACGTCTATTGAATATAACTTCCAATGACCTCAACTAGTAAATATATCCAAGACCCGTACGTTCATCACTGCTTCACCGAGCAACGCAGTCGAAATTGTAGTCATCGTTCAGTCTTGCCTCCTGAGTAGCCGGAGTTTTGCATTACTACACTATTTCGCTTTACAATCTTAGAAATCGCAGCGAATAATATACGATCTATTGCCTCTCATAGCTCTACTAACCTCACTTTCACAAGTACTCCTATTTTGAAAATTCAAGTAGGTATTTTATTGTGGCATATGTTAAATTGGGCAGGCGTTAAATTTGAAGTAAGTAAACTTCTTCTGTTCCTAAAACGAGAATCAAAACCAAAATGCAGGCGTTATTAAAATGCAAAAAGGCAAGTAAACAATTGCTTATTTGGAAAATGAATCATAGGAAGAGTACGGGTTAAATCAGTAAGTTGATTAAGGTTATTTATTTATATCGAACGGCAGGCGTTGTGATAGTTATAATCAGCCCATTAGCTGACTTCGGGCTTCACAGAAGAGAGAAATAGACTAAGTCAGAAAAAGTCGGGGGGGGGGGGGGACAGAAGAGTAATTCACAGATGTAGGAGACAAAGGTAAGGTGAGTATTGTGGAAGTGGTCGAATATGGCATATAGTGGGGGGTGGTGGTAGTTTGAAGTCAGAAGTCAACTGCCGGTTTATGGACTTTTTTGCCATATGAGTATACGTTGCTCAGGATGCACTACGTGGAGGTAAGATAATTAAAGTAAGTTATGGTGATTAAAACCAGTCAGTAAGCACTTGACATTGTGGATAGACATCTGTCTATTGTTCTAGGGGAGATGTAATCATGTACAGCATGTATTATCTCGACATTGAACACTGATTATACGTATTTTTTATTTACGTTGACTAATATGATCAAGTAAGGTAATTATTGAATGCGTTTGTGCGAAAGATTTTAAGGATATATCCATGGTTCAGATTTGCTAAGATGGTCTTCGTTATTGCGTGTACTATCAATTCATAATTACGTATGAGTTTTCGGTGTAGACAAAACATAACTTAGAGGTTCTATCGAGAATAAAACAAAACTGTAGAATGTCAGTATGAATTTTCAAAATGATTCTGAATAAATGCTGCTGACTACGTCCTCTCTGCTATACTGAAATTTTGATCTGCTGAATGTTGCCTAAAATTGTCCCTTCTCAAACTTTAAAACGAGAATTTAATTGGTAGGACTGACTGTCACGAAAAAACCTGTCGACATACACTCTCCATAGTAGACTAACAATCGCTTCAATCTGTGGGACGAATTCTGAAGTTTCAAATTTGCAACTTTAACTACCGAATGGTAAAAGTTAAACAACTTGATTTCACAACTAAATGAAGTAGGACTTCTTATAGCTGAAATTTCTTTCTGATTTATACTGAATTCTCACCCCTCCTCCCCTTTTAGGTCTGTTTGTTTTGCTTCAGTAAGAGTAAGAATATTTAAGTTTAAGATGTTATGATTCGCTTTGATTCCCTCATCGACTGTCTTGCCATAAATACTACTGCAAGGGTTAATTTGGTTAAACCCTTATGGAGCTTGCCCAGTGTCTGATTGCGAGTATGCATTTCATCACTTATTTTTTTCTCAATTTCAGGTTACAGCACCAAGTCTCCTAGTATGGCGCTTAGCTCAACGCAGCGTCGGGCTGAACGGTCGAACACTTCGAAAGTTACCCCTCCTTGCTCACGCTTTTCACTTGGATACAACTAAATATCCCTCTAGTATTCCACTTCGGTGGTCTGGAGCAATTAACGGCTCCTGTGGAGATAAAGAAAATCGTTCTGCTCCCCATCCCGCATTTGGAAGTGGCGGAAAAAGATCCTCCACACCTGCTGTTCCTCTTGACGTCTTTATTGAAGCGCTCGAAAAGGCCGTAGATAGTCGGTTTTCGGACCAAAATCTTATTGCTCAGTCGACTGATGAGTCAATAGATGGAAAGAGAGAAAAGGCTACTGGGCCTGTTGATGGTGCTTTGAGCACTACCTCGTCTGTAAACGTTCATCTTCCTTGAGACTGTTGAAGCTTTTTCTCTATTGAACCGTTTTATATTTTTTTTTTTCATATTTGTACAAAATGAAGGCTAAGCTCAATGGGAGTTAGTTTGTTGATAGTCTCATTTTGTATTGATTTCTTTAATTTGATTGCTTGTCAATGTTCCATACTATTGGCTGCTTATAACGTTAGGAAATTTTAGAACTTTCAAAATCAAACCAGTATTTATGCCACTGTTATCTCTCAATGGAACTTGAATAGACTTCAGTGTTTTGTTATAAATTCAAACTAGGGAGAGAGAATATTGATGTAATGCGTGTTAATTAAGTTTTAATTAAATACTCGATATGGTATAGTTGGGTGCGCAACTGGGGGGGGGGGGGTTGTGAATAAAATTGGCTGACTAGTTGCCAAAATTTTCGTAGGAAAAAGTACTGTTTGCTCATTTACTCTTTATAAAATGAGGAATATCCGATTAACTATGAAAATATTTGATCTTTAGTCGAGCTTGATTTTTATCGCGTCATTGATGACAAATGTCTTCATACTGTCGGAACAATATAGGAACCGGATCTTGTGTAAATTATGTAATCCTTAGTCATTTTAACCTCCGGCATAAAGATTCGATTTTAAGGTATTCCTTAGCTTCGCCGTTCGTTATCCTAAAGGTCTAGAAACTAATTAATTGGAAAAGAATGGAGGCTAGAGTAGAATTAGCCATTGAAATACCAGTTGATAAGAGTACCAAGATAACTTGGCATTTATAAAACTTTAAGGTTTGAGTTTATCCTAAGAGTTAAAAGGATACAATTGATTTTTTTTTCGAAATCAAAAATCCGAGATTTGAGTTGGCGCACTATTGTCCTGGTCAGTGATCCGGAGTAGAATACAAACATCTAAGCTTGGGCTCGAAATAAAGTGAGATGCGCTAAAATAGCAAATCAATTATGTTCTATACGTCACCGTGTGAAAACTGACGAGTAGATCATTGAGTCATTATGCGCGTAGCGCAAGCGCTGCCCTTTTAGGAAATCGATTATCAGAAAACAGATGATCGAAATTTTTATTTGGACGCTTTTTAAAAATTCAGCTGTTTTGAAGGCTAACCATTTTGACCACTATTAGTTTTTATTCTGCAATTGATCAATTGTTGCAGATCTATCTTAGTAAAGCATTTCCCAATGTATGATCCTCCATGCGCGAAATTAAGAAATTGCCTTAGTCAGAATGGAATCACTTTTAAATTAGATAATAAATGAATGGGAAGTAAATAACAATGTTAACTCGTATTGAATTTCACGAGAAAGGACATATGTTAGTCGTTTTCTCGTAAAATTCCATTCAATGTTGTAAAAATTACACTAGCAGGAAATGTTCTTGTTGGCATTATTTATTTCCCGCCGTTCAATTTACAGCCCCAAAAATGACAATTGAATGCTCTCCTGGTGCATTATCATAGGCCGGACCAATTTATTTCTGATTGGCTGTTCAAAGGGCTGATGAAAGAGCAACCATTGCCCATTCTTATTTTAAGCTAAATGTATCAAGAGCGTGACCGTAGTCGTCCTCGTCAACCAACATCTCTTGAATCCCTATACATGACCGTTCAAAATGCTTGCTCAAGCCTTCAGAACACTCTGGATGGTATCTGCAAACAATGCGATTGTCTTCAAATCGAGTCACGAAACGAGCATGCTATGGAGGTTCTGGAAAGCTTAGACACGTTCGAGAGTGAAGTTCAGCTGGCAATGCTCTCAGACGCTCAATGTCAACTTCTCGTTGAAGATTTGGATCTAAATCTGAATGAAAGTACTGTTATGGATATCGTTAAAAAGCTTAGAGATCTTGAACTCCTGAGAAAGAATGTCTCTACCTTTTTTAAAAAGCTTAATAAAAGATTTTATTCCATTCTGGATGATGGTGTTTACCTCTATTGTGTTAGCTTGTTCGAAATTACTCATGAAGAAATTCGTGAGGTGATTGAATATGACGAATTTATCTCCAATCAAAAGTTGGAGATATCTCAGGCTGTTGAGGAAATTCATCATCTAGAAGAGAGGTGGGGAAATCTTACCTTGGATTTAAATTCAACGATTGATAATCTGGATGGTCTGCAAGCCTGCTTGACTGATGTTCAAGCCCGTTGGAAAGAAATCCAAGAAAAGATTTTCGAGTGGTTAAAGCAGGATCGCAATTATCCCAATCGAATAACAGGTCGAATTAGTAGTAACAAGGATTCAATCCAATGTCTTCTCCTTGAGATGGATATGATCGATGAATCTCAGAAACAGAGCGCAGAGGTCTGCCGTCTTCGCCAAGAGCAAATCAAATCACTCCAAAAAAGGCGTCGGGAGCTGTATAATAACCTGGGTCATGTTCAACGAGCTAAGAGGTATAATGCTTCAAAAATGTCAGAAAATGAAACGAAATCAGCTCAAGAAATAAACAGAGATAATAAACCCGATTCTAAAAAGGGTTCTGGCGGTTCAAAATCTCAAAATGAGTTCCATAGACGTAGGGATGCTAGACTTGATAAGGAACAGAGTGACGTAAAGGCTTCAATTGCAAGCGTCGACAAAAAAATCGATGAACTTAAAAAATTTACCGAAGAAGAGAAAACCAAAGAGGACGCGAGCTTGAAAAGGATTAAAGAAATCCACACTGCAATTGCTGTAATGGAGAAGGCGAATGTGGACTGTAGGACGATTTTGTCACAAAGAGGAAAAGCAGAAACATTCATTAAACTTAGGAAAGGAACACTAGCAAAACCGACTAAAGGTAATGCTAGGCTGTTTTTATTTCTTGTTGCCTTTAAACCTGAGTTCGCTTTGTGTGCTTGAAATGCATAGTAAAGTTCCATATACCAATAGTTTTTAAGCACTTCGTTAGGTCCAGTGAACAGGTAATCATGAAATAGTTAGAAAGATAACCATGTACTATCTGAACATGCCTCCCCCCCCCCCCCCCCCCCCAACACCACTACCACCACACTTTGTCTGACAGTAAATGAATACTTGTGTCTATTAATGCCATTGGATGAGCAAACCTCCCATGTATCAGTGTTTACTCTATCATCGACTCACGATTTGGCAAGGTTTGAATTCTTAAAGAAATGCTAAAATTTTTCACATTTAGAGAGTTTAGCATCGTTTAATGGTTGGCATTCTTTGCACTTTACAATGTTTAATTGAGGTATTGTTATTCTGCTGAATCTTAGAAGAATAAAGTCATGGCAACGCACGCTTGACAACGCTATAGCATTTCTTTGTAGTTTATCTGCTCATAGTAAATGGTAACTGAGTATATCCTTGAACTTTTTATCGTTTAATTGAGATCTATATTTACTTTTCAAAAAATGTTAATCTACCGACGTTAATGGTTTCCATGTGTTCGGAAAATCATTCCTTTCATTGAAACCTTCTGCTTAGGTCAGATTATTGGTGTATGTTCACTGATTAAGTGCATATGGCCATGAGAGTTATCATTTCTAATTAGACCCTTCTCGCGTAAATGACATCTCTATTTCTGCAGTCTTCTATAAGTAGAATTGTTTGTTTTTGGTGAACTATTCTGTTTCGATTTCGACAGGATATGAAATGAAAACGGGTGCATAGATCTTCAAGTAGCATTTACTAATGAGAAAGAAAAGTGGAATTTGGAAATTGTTGCTTTAAAGCCTGCATGTCTAAATAGCCAAAAGTTAATTTATCCATATTTGGCTGTAAGGCCTTTATAGCTTGCAATAGTTGATAACTTCTAATTAAATTTTACCTTGGCCTAAAGGGTAGTTTGATGACAATATCTCTAGAAGCGGTCTTTCCTTGAGTCATTCGTTGCCAAATTTCACAAACTACTTTGCATTTGCTTATTGGCTAACGATGCGATTTAGCAGAGAGTAATCAAGGTTAAAGGACCAAAAAGGGGCAAAACTACCACCATTAGAGGTATGGAGCTGTCAGGTGGTTTAAGCAGCTACAATACACACTTAATTGGGGGGGGGGGGATCGTGACCTGGTATTTCAGAAGCCGAAAACTAGCCTTCGTAACCTTCAGCAACTCTTAAATGTCATCGTTTCAGAATATCAATAATAATTATGTTTGAAAATTAAGAAAAATCATTGATTGATAGTAAATGAAAGCACAAGATTCAAACTAGCCTTTATTATACAATGTCGTCAAAGCTCAGGAAGATAAGTTCCCTAATCAGCACCTAATGCTTACCCAAATCGGCCATTTTGCACAATTCTCTTCTCCTTAAGATGAGTTTTGTGAGGTACATTCCGTTAACGTCTGTGAAAATTAATTTTAATCAATATGGCAATGTCTCCACCCCGTATACTAGAAGACTGAATAATCCACTAACCTGAAAGAAGTTCACTTTATTCATGATAGATATTGTACATAGGTACGCTGCTGAAAATAGAGACTTCAAAAAGCATATTTATTTATTAATATCAATACAGAATCATAATTACCTATGCATGCCAGTATATCCATGTTTCCATTGTTAAATATCAGATACGATTGGTCAAACAAGTCGCTATTGAGGCATAATACAGAAAATCTATACGAAATTAACACATCTACTAATATATAATAAGTACCGCGTCATTTTTGTAGGTGATGTTTCATTTGAGGAGGCCTGTAGATATGTCGCTTATCGCTTACGTCACGAGTGGCCCCGCCTTTACCTTCATCTTCCAATGTGGCCAATTCGGAACTATGCGCAACGTTTGGAGGATATAAATGGTCTTCTTGGTTACGAACGCATGAATGTGGTCCTTCCACGCAATCGGACACCTATCGAAGATGCAGCTGCAGCGCTGGCCAAATGGAGACTCCTCTCGCGGCGATACATCAATTTAGAGGGTCTAGTTACAGGTCTTCGGCAAGCAGGCTGGTTAAAACTAGCTAATGAAGCACGAAAACGGTTTGTTGAAGTAGTTCCACAGGAAGAACAAGATTTAAAAGAAAATCGAGAACAGGAGATCGTAACTGAAAATAACGCCGTTCTGGTAGAAGAGCTTGAAGCTTCAAAAGGAGGAAATGATCAATTGACTGAAGTATCTACCTGTGAAGAAGCCGGTAAAGAGCTTGAAGAAGTTTCGTTTACTGAAAGTAAAGAAGGAAAAGTGGACGACGAAGTGGAAGTGGAAAAGGGCGATTGTGAAGATACAGGTAGTCAAGAAAGTGAGGATGTTTCTGCCGATTTGAAAGAGGACACTAAAGCTAAGGAGAATGATGAAACAGAGTGTGATAAATCTGAATTTATACACGATAATTGCACAAATCAAGAGTCTGTAATAGACGGTGAAGGGAATCGGGACGATTCATGCCATGAATCAAATAGAGCCAATAGTGTCAATGGGGATTTACTAGAAGAAATGGGTCTCGAAGAAGAAGCAGAGAAAAAACACGATTTCGTGGAGGAAATTCAGGAAGCAGAGCCCGTGGAAGTGAATGGGAAATCAAAATCCATCGATAAGAACAACTCTGTGGAAAGTGAACAGGAAGAGAGTACTTCAATTAAATCAACCCGCAAAAGCTCGGTGTCAAGCATTGGTCCTAAAGAGGAAGACAAACCTAAGCAGAAGGAAATTGAAAACGAAATTTCAAATTCTCTTGCTAATAACACTTCAGAGTGTGAAATTTCAAAGGATGGTAATGTGGTAAATGAGGATGATGAACATGAAAGTACAAGGGAAAATGAATTGGAAACTTCGGGAACAGTCAAAGAAGAAGATTGTGCATCGGAGAAAAGTTCAAAAGAATCAGTATTACTGGATATCCCAAGGAAATCTCAAGAAAACGCGTCCAATGACCTAGTGAAAAATGAGGATGGCAGCGATATTCAAGCAGAAAAGAAGGAGCAGAGCCCAAGAAGAGATTCAATATACAAAATTAATAACTCGGTATCTAAAGAAAAGGATGATTCAGTGAATACTCCCCAAAGCCCTGAGAGTAAAAGGCCAGATATGATCACCGGACCAACGTCAGCTGGGCATAAAAAGGTAGCTCCCAAAAATTTGCCCAATAAATCAAAAAATGTTGATGAAACCAAAAGTGAGGAAGGTGTTAAGCAAAAACTTACCAAGAACGATGAAAAATCATGTAATATAGGAAAGAAAGTAGGCACTAAAATGCCTGAAAGCAAAATCGACAAGAAAAAGCCAACGTCCAAGGGCGCGATTTTGAAAACTGCAGGCAACAATTCAAAGAATAAATCAACTGAAAGTGCCAAGAAGGTGGAGAAGCCAAAGTCAAATCATACTTCCAAATCAAAACCTGAAACTAAAATTGAAGAACCCGATGTCGTAATTAAAAAGCAAGACAGCAAAGTTGAAAACTCTCAGGAACGAGATGTTGAGAAAGAGATGGCAAATGAAAATACTCCGAAGCAAGCTGAATCTAAACTCTCACCACGGGACCAAGAAGCTGGTTCAGATGAACGTGAAAATGCAAGCGAAATAAATGATGACGATAGAGGGAGAGAAGGAGAGGAACCATATAATAAGGAGGAAGATCCCAAATCTAAGGAAAATGTAAAGGGAGCCGAAAAGCCCCCTTCAAAAGCGAAGTCTTCAGAAAAGGAGGAGGACAAAAAGGCTGCCAAGAAGTTGAAAGCCGATAAAAGTGGAAAGAGGAAAGCTGACAAGAAGAAATAAATATGTTCCGATTTTTTTAATTTAATCTTTCAATTATACATAATTCTATGCCTCGTTGTTAATTTAAATATGCTAATTATGAACTTTGAGAGTTCAGTAAACCCGTTTTTCACCGGCGTGAAAGTGGTTGGCCAAGGTCAAGTGTGTCTTGAGAGAAAAAAGTGTACTAAATTTATTCCGTATTGATCAGGATTAAAGGCTTTAATATATTCTTCCTCATATTAAACTTACTTTTCGAAATTCGTGATCTATTATCTTTTGAGCTGTACTGGCAAACTAATTAGGCAGAACAGCTATTAATATCTCAGCGAGGATATTTGTCCACATACCTTTTTCTGTCTATTCCCATGTTATTCAATATACCAAATTAATTTGCTCAGAAATGTAAAACTTAGTCTACTGTATTGATTACCGTTTATCAGTGGGATTAGCAGCCCGTAAAACTCAGTGAAATTGAAGTCACTTGGGGGAGCACAAAGTGAACTGCTGGACAACTTGGGGTGGAAACTACCCTTGTTAAAATCATGCATTTTGGAATGACCGAAGATGAGTAGGTTCCAACTTAATACTTTGCCTTATAAGATCCGCTTTTGAAGGAGAAATAGAGGCTATTAGGATAGCACTATGCCAATTATGTTGCCTGGATACGAAATTCACCAAAGCGGTGATACTTTCGGACTCACAGTCAGCAATAGACTCTATTGGAAACAGAGAGACACCCAAAACAGCTGAGATAAAGGAATGTAGGAAACTCTATCAGCTGCTGAGAGAGAAAAACAAAACAGTGGTCCTACAATGGATTCCTGGTCACTGTAGCATTAAAGGCAATGAGCTTGCTGACACACTTGCTAAGAAGGGGACAACAATTTTGCAAGGCGTAGACCGGCCGATGTCTTTCCACACAATGAAGGCCTTAATCAGGAGAGAATTCCAGACCTCAAGGTTCAACGAACTCAAAGCTCGAACAAAGGAGAAACAGTGGACAATGGCACTCTCCGACATACCCGACTGGCCAAGAATCGAAGCCGTTGCTGAGTTCAGACTACGTACCGGACACGATTGCTTGGCAAAACACCTTCACAGATTGGGAGTATACACTCAACCCACATGCCCTCTATGTAACTTACAGGAGGAAATGGAGAAGACCCACCTGATTCGGTGTCCAGCCCTAAAGACAAGGACGGAAAGCCAAAGATACTGGGAAGCAAGAAGACAGCTAATGAACTGCNCCCCCCCCCCCCCTCTTGGGGGAAGCTGAAGTCAAAGATTAATGGCTAATGATAAATATCATAAAGCCTGCCATTTGAAATAATAATAAACTTTGCCTTATAGGCATGGGTTTTGGATTGAATGGAAGGCCGGGTTCGCCAATATTTTTATTGGACGAAAAGTCGAACTTTAATAAGAACTTTACAATAGTAAATGCGTAAAAATGTGCATCATTTTTCCATGACGCGTGTACAATTTTAAGATGTTAATATAATAAAGCAGAACTGTGCACTACCAACTTGAAAGACTAACAATAGGGAATGATTGCATTGATCTTTATTTAGAGCGAACCGGAAAAAAACTTTTAATCCGAATAAGCACGACAAATCAGCTGTTTTCCATATAATAGAATTTGAAAAAACTGCTTATATAATTAGGAGTATGTTCACTAAGCCTGTTGAAATTAGGAAATTTTATGGCCATATTATTTGCCCCCTGGGGTGTGCGATAGACTTACCTCCACGTTGTGCACCCTGGACAACGTATACTCATATGGCAAAAAGTCTATTAACCGGCAGTTGACTTCTGACTTCAAACTACCATCACCCCACTGTATGTCATTTTCGACCACTTTCACAGTACTCATTTTACCTTTTCTCTGCCTCTGTGTCGGTCTCTTTTACATCGTTGAATCACGCTTCTGTTCCCCTCCCCCCCAATCTCGATTTTTTCACTTTTTAGTTCCTTCCCATCTGTGAAGTCTGAAGTCAACTAAGGGGCTAATGATAACT